AAGTGATAATTCACAGTACGTGATTTTATTATTACATGGATCATAAGATTTATCATAAGATTTATAGCGCAAACTTTGATGAATAACTTGCTTGGTGAGTTTTACTTCCGGTATTAAAACAATCTAGAGTTTTGGTTTTAGCATAACATCTGATCTTGAAGCAATTCATTCCCAAGGATATATTCATCGAGATTTACATAACGGCAATGTCTTACATCATCTAAAAATGAAAATAGAATTGTTGATATTGCACCAGAGGTTTTATCAGGTCAAAAATTACACAAACTAATGATGTTCACAGGTTTGGGGTTATCATGACAGAAATATCGATTGGGCAAAGAGCGTTCGATGGTGAATCCTCTGATCAAGTTGGATTTATTTTAAAGGTAATTCAAGGAAAACGACCTAAAATTGCTCACGATATTCCGAAATGTTATGTCGAATTGGCTATATGATGCATGGATTCCAAATTCAAACGGAGGTCAACTATTAGATACGTTAACACAATAGCCACTTCTTGAACTGAGGAATATGCAAATGAAAGTAAAAATAAAATCAAATAGCAATTCTTGGAAGCTGATAGATTATTAAAAATTGCCAACAGTCACGCTAAAATAGTGCTTCGCAAAATCAATCAAAGTTTGAGTTCTTTCTCAACGAACAGTTGATCTAACAAGAATATTTGATTTGAAATCTCTTGATTTTGCGGAGCACTATGCCAAACATCTGAATCATATGTACGATCTTGTGTTATTATTTAGACTTGAAATTATTAGAAAGCAGCCGCACATCGATATCAAGGGTCAAAAGCTAAAAACGCCTCAAGAAATTCCTGACGAGTGAGCTTTTTTATGCAAATTCTTGCTTATGTGGTATATAATTTAAATCTAATAAAGTTATAATTGATTTTCGGAAATGTTTAACGTTTTTTAGAATTAACTGTTAAGGAATTTTTTTTGTTACGGGATTTCCGTATAGGGTTTTTGGAGCGAAATTGTGATTTTGCGCAATCCATAATCCCTTCGGACTGTATACAAAATATGCGGATAGTTGTGAATGGCAATCAATTCGTACGGATAAGGACTTGATTTTGATTCCATGTTATCCAAGTTTGACTTTAAGGCGATTTTGACATTGAATGAACAAGGATATTTGCAAGGTTCTTCACTAAAAAATACCATTTGAATAAGTGATTCTGAAGTAGAAAATGCATTACCAGAAACTTATAAGAATACTATATTAACAGTATCTTAAGTATAATTAGCTTTAAAATTCTCATAATGGGTATCATTATAATTCTATATCTATCAACATTAAAATAATTGCTTTTTTTAGTATATAAAATAATTTGTAAAAAAGACATTCAGACATGCCATTGATCTTGTTAATAATCGTATTAATATTAGTAGAAACTCTGGCAATCACAGTAGCATATTAATTTCTTGATAATTCCAATTATAATAAAACAATTGCGATCCTTATAGAGAAGGTTTGTTACGATATTCCAAATACTGTATCTTCTGAAAAAAGCAAAATCACAATGCTAAATAATTTAAATAAATATTGTATATTTCCGAAAATGAGTACTGCAGAGGGAAAACCTGTATGAATTTAAATTTTTATGCCGAACTTAGAAAATTTTCTGAACTTAAGTTCGTACTTACAGGTTTTCCCTTTGTAGCATTCAAACAAGAACCATCCTTCTACTCCAATTTTTTTTAAATATTAGATTAGCGGGAATAACTTGGTCAAAGATATCATTTTTATTTTAGCTAATTTGAAATTTTAAGTATATTTTAATACGTGTGATTTTTAAACTGTTCAAATAGTAGCAGTTTGCAAAAAATAAATCTGTTATCAACTTGTAATTTAATAATTAGATATGCAATTCTCAAATTGAAATTCAAGAAGATATTTAGCTCTAGTTTGAGGCTGCGATCACTATCACTAGTCATCAAAAAATGTATCCTATATGATTGTTTGTTGCTCTTATAAAACCTTCATGCACAATAAGTTTGACACAATTCTTTTAGTACGAGAAACACGAAAAATTAGTGCTTCAAAATGGATGAATGACTGGGTTTTTGATTTTAATGAACTATTTATTTCGGAATAAGCGATGTATACTTCTATTTTAAGACAGCCTTATTATTATAAAAAACCAAAAAGCTTTTAGATTTTATAAAATCGAACTTCTATTTCATTTTTCTGACTTCGAAAGTTAGAAATGCAAATAAAAAACCTTTAAGATTTCATCTTATTTAACCATCGTGAGAATATAAATAACACTATTAATAAAATTACTGAATTATAGAATTATTACTATTAATTACTGACATTAAAGGTTTATTTTCTATTATAAATGTTGATCGACTTTTGTTTCCAGAAAGTATCATACTTTTCCCGATGGTTACTAACTGATCCCAACCAACGATCGACTCGATCTGTGTGACCATCGTCACCTGATATTTTTATGATCACCGTATTCGTATCACTGGGCGTTTCTTCTTTTTTTATTATTATTCTATCCTATATTTGTTTATTTCCTATATTTTTGTTTTCCTTATTTGTATAATCTATTTCCAAACTTGTATTATCAATACCCATCATTGTAATTACCATTTATGTGTTTTGTACAATCTGCAATCGAGGTAATCTGAGATTTGAGTCAATCCATACATAGACAAAATTGCTACGCCATTAGTAATTTTCTGAGGATGTCATGAACAATCCATTATCGTTCATTTTCTCAACTTCTGCTCACTGTGTTTGTGTCTCCTATGACATTGGGAAGTGTTGACCGATTGTGAAATGATCATAAAGTATTTATTAAATGTTGTATATCGATTGTTCATATCGATTTGTGATTAAAGAAATTATTCGTGTGAGTTTTTTTGCAAAAAATAAAGCTTTAGAAGACAGGTGAATGAGAACTTGTAGGGTTTATAGTTCTGAGTATAGTATCTAAATAAGAAAAGGGTAATCTAATTGGTTAGATAGTGAAAGATAGTTGTATAGTAAAATTTGTATTGTAATTAATTTATATAAAAGAAAATGTATTTAAAGAGTTATGTTTTTATTTTTAAGAAAAAGGATGATGATTTTAAATAAGAAAAAACAAATATATTTATAAAATATAATTGATTATCATGAATACATCTTTATAAATTTGTTTTTATTGTTACATTTTTGTATTGCTTAACATGAATACAATATAAAACAAAAAAACTAAAATCAAAAATTGTATGATTATAAGAGAATGATTACATAAAATTATATAAAATTTATATTATTAGTAAACAAATATTAGTTGATTTATTAATTAAAAAATTAAACTAATGTTTGTTTATTATTATTTTTAATTATTAATTCATATTGTCATCTTATTGATCCTACTAAACTAACTAAATCTAAATTTAGAATTTTATTTTATTTTTATTTTATATATTATTCTAATTTTTACAAATTATATAACATATATTTTTATATTATTTTTTATAATGCATCACAAATTTTTAATAAAGTTTAAATCAGAATTGTTTAACAACTAGTTCATAAGTTTAAGAATATTTTCTAAAAAAATACTTTAATAAATTTGCTTAAATGTTTTGGATTATTATCTTGTTGCTAATATTAATATTTACCAAACATTTTTTTGCTTTAGAAAAATGTTAATACATAATTTTAATATAAAATTTTTTGTTTATAATTTATATAAAACAAAATAAGTTTAATTTTTCTTTTATTAAAAAACTATAACATATTTTAATTTTAGTATAGTCTCTAGAAATTGAACAAATTAACTAATAATATTTCTTATATTAATACTTAAATGTATTTTAAAAAAATTAAAAAGTTGATTTATCTATAAAAAAATTACATTTCAATTATTATTAAAATAAGTTTGAACCTATTTTATTCTTTTTTTTTGATTACTGATTAACATAAAATCTTTTATAAACTATTTTTTATATATTTTATTATAAACAAATAGTTTTTAATTGTTTAATATTAACATTTATACTTAATAGATATATAACTAAAGTTTTTGTTAAAATAAATAAATCTTTTTAAATTGTTTTTCAATTACCTGAAAGATAACATTACTAATTTTTTTGAATAACCATTCTTTTGAACATAATTAATATTTTTGTACATTTTTAACTTTTTTATATTGTTATAAATAGTAAACTGAAAAATACCAATTTAAGTATAAAGCTCTTTTGCACTATATAAACTTTGTTTCACAGGTATACTAAAGTTTCTTGCTGACTTCTTTTTTTTGATGCTGTCATATAATTATTATTTGAAGATACAAAATTACAATGCACTTGCAAATTACAAATTACTAAAAGTAAGTATTCTACATTGCTTCTAATTTGCATTTTGCAGATCTTAGATCTGATGATTTTAAGTCACGTGCAATTTTCCGATTTTTTTTGTCCCACACGCTCCTTAAACATTTTTTTATTAATTTCCCTTATACGACGACACACATTCCTTAAACTCATATTTAAGGATTCCATCTATTACCGCAACAACTGCATTTTGTCGTCCTAAATTCGTCCAACCTTAATTAAACCGTTTTCACCCTAATAAATCCTCAAGGTTAACTATCCTGATCTAATACAGCAACGCATTAACTGACGCTCTCCCAACCCGATAGTTACACCGGCCCATGATACAAATTAATAATAATAATTAATACGTAAAAAGTAAACTTTTCCGGATTAGGCATACGTACGTACGTACTTACGTAGTAGAGTTGCTGGTGAAACTGGTGAAACTCTTGGTGAACCTGAAATTTAATATAAAAGCCAATCAAATTTTGGATAATTACCATTAGTTTCATCAGCAACTCTAGTATTGTACTTAGTTTAATTATGCTTCCTTATTGATTTCGTATCACCAGTACAAATAAGTATTTCCACAAAATTGATCGAGTCCGAAAAACGCATAAAACGATTAAATTTTCCATTTACCACAATAATTTTCTCATCATGTCAAAATCGATCAAGCTTTGTGATATATCAGACTATGAAAAGTTTATTGATAAATTCGATACATTTTTACTTGATTGTGATGGTACTGATAAAAGAATTTTTTTTTGATGTTTTTATAGATATTATGTTCTTTCGTTGATTATATTAACAACTTATAGGTGTTTTGTGGAAGGGAGGTGATACATTACCAGGTGTTATAGAATCCTTATCGTATCTGAGAAAGCAAGGCAAATAATTATATAAAACTACAATTTATCAATGTTATTTCCCATCGTTTATAATTTCGTATATTTTTCAATTGTTATTTCCCAATGTTTATATAATTTTGTATATCTTTCTATAGGCAAAAAACTTTTGTTCGTTACGAATAATAGTGCAAGATCTCGTGCTGATTATGTTGAAAAATTCAAGAAATTGAATATTGAAGCACATGAGGTATGATCATGATCATTACCTATCTTACCTCAATTAATGATGGGTGACGAATGACAGAATTTTCGTCATCGACGAATGATGAAATCATTTCGTCAGGCAGCCTCGAGTTGATGAAATGACGAATGACAAAATTCATGACCAATAACAAAACCTATGACGAATAATAAACTTTATAGCATTTGGACGTAATAAATGTAAGAAAAATATATAAAATGAGATTTTCATAGGATTTTTCATTGAAAAGTTAATACCCGTAAAGCGAACGATAAACCTTTTGACATACTCGACATTGCCCGATATATATATTAATCGCCGGATGTATCCGATAGGTACGGCGAGAAAAAAACTATCGGCAATAAAAAATTCATTAGCTTCAAATTCAATCTAATGTAAGTTTAATTTTTATATGAATCCATTTACCTTTATGGTGTTATCTTTCGTATAACGAACTGACTATTCGATAGTAAAAGTTCGTTGTCAAACCATTGTTATGTACCGACAAAATTTATGAAATAACTAATTTTGAAAAAATTTAAATTCGGAATATCTAAAGGTCGTTATAAAGAAACTCGTTGAAGGAGGGCAATTGTGTTCTTAAATTTTATTGGCCAAATTAATTTCATCAATAATTTCATCAATCGCATCAATCGTCAATAATTTCATCAATCGTCATAATTTCGTCTGACGAAACCATTGACGAAACCATTTCGTCATAGCAGAAATAATTTAGTCACCCATCATTAACCTCAATCTATCTTACCTTTCATAAATATGTTCTTGTAATGAATAGGATGAGATATTTAGCTCTTCTTATGCATCCGCTTATTATCTCAAGAATGTTCTAAAATTTCCAAAAGAGAAGAAAATCTATATTATTGGAGAATCTGGGATTGCCGATGAACTAGCCTCTGAAGGAATTCGTCATTGTGGTTTGAGTGTAATTACCAATTTTTGGTTGTTTTATTCTTTTTATTTATGATTATTTAGAAGTTGTTTTGGAAATTTTATGTAGGATAACGATCAACAATTTAAACCTGAGGATATCGTTCCAGATCCAGAGGTATTTCAGCTATTTATTTATTCTGCTACATCAGAATGTATACCTTGTTTATTACTGTATAGCGCTGCATACAGTATCCCCTGAAAAAGTATCCTCTTTAAAGTAGTATCAGGGTACTGTTCAATTGTAAATTTTAAAATTTTTGAAATGTATCCCGGTATTAAAGTCATTTAACCGGTATAACTGGTGTGACAATTTAACATGTTATTAGTTTTAACATATAATTTGTAAATTGTACGTTAAGTGATGTCGGTTAGCTTGCCGGTAATATATTGTCCATGAAATAATACAGACCCGTAATTTGTTACGTTTATAATTCGAATGATCTTGTTATAAAATCATCTCATGCTCTTTTCATAGTATTCCCTTCGTATAGTACCCCCTTCTCACACAGTACCCCGGGGTATTATTTAAATTATCTTGACATTTTTGAAATAAGACCAAGGGTACTGTATGCAGCGCTGTACGGTAAATGGCTAATGTTTGCGCACCATCTTGTTTATTAGGTTGGCGCAGTTCTTTGTGGTATTGATTTTCATATCAATTTCAAAAAATTAGCAAAAGCTTTATATTATTTAAAAACAAATTCCGACTGCATCTTCTTGTTAACCAATGATGATGCAACTTTCCCAGCTAGCGGTTTTATTGCTCCTGGTAAAAACACTAGATTTTTATATCTTATTTTAAGAATTATTTATATTAACGTATCAAAAACAAATAGGTGCTGGTGCAATTTCTGCTCCGTTAATAACAGCATTGAATAAGAAACCAGATGCCATAATGGGAAAACCAAATAAACCAATGATGGACTGTATTGCCCAAAAATTTAAATTAAATCTCGAACGAACTTGCATGATCGGTGATCGTTTAGAAACCGATATTCAATTTGGAAATAATAATGGTGTTACTACTTTATTGGTATTAACAGGTACATTATCATTTATAACCTTTTATCATATTTGATTTTTTTTTCAAATAATTTTTATTTACCTATCCGAAAATTAGGTATTGCTGCGGAGAAGGACATTCTTGTTGACAATGCCCCTATTATTCCTGATTATTACATGTCCAGTTTTGGTGATTTTGCCAAACTTTGCTGATAAAGATTATTTATTACTATTTGCAAAATTCCATGACCCACAATCTTTTTCATATTATGGCGTAAATCAGAAATCGTTTTTTGATTATTAATTATTATGGTATAGTAAATTTTTAGTACCATAAAATTTTTAATTCAACGATCGATATATTATTGTGCCATCATGCGTGGGTAAAAACAGACTCTGTTAATGTCCAGAATATTTATATAACTTAATAAATATATTTATTATAGTTGAGAATGACTACGATTAATTCCAAATTACGTGGATTGACCATTACATATATATATCTTTTTTACACTAATCAGTTTTCTCCTTTTCTGTTTCTTTTTTACATAATGCAATTTATTTATTTAATTTTTTTTTTTGAAACGAGGTGATGCCAGGAACTATAGAAAAAAAAGGTTATAACGTTATTACATAAAAATATATAATCTAATTTGACAGTAGGTTGGATGAAGCAAGCTCGAAAATATGATATAGCTGTCTTTATAAATCCTGGAACAAACAAAAATTTCTAATAGCCGAACCGAAAGTTAGAGAGTCTCGAATTTTTTCTATTTTAAAATTTTATCAATCAACTATAACGTTATTATGTAAAAAACAATATATATATACTGAAATTTTGGCCCGCATTACATAATTGTTTACTAATTTATGGCTGGAATTAACTTTTTATTGAGTAATTCCAGCCAGGGTTAATGTGTTTATAGATTTTAACAAATTAAATAACTAAAGGGTCTTATTTAAAGCTTACTGCGTCTTTAGTGTTTCCTTTACTTAGCCGTTTCTTTGCATTCAGTACATATACATAGCTATTATAACTAGTAATAGTAACAAATATTTGGGAAAATTATATATAGGAAATTTATTAGTTTACAGTGTTTATACACGGGTACTAATAATGAATTCGTGTATGATTAGCTCTAGGATTAGAAATGGTTTGGGATTATACTAAAATTTTGCAAGAAATATTTTTTGTTAGAACCCCAAAAGTTGTTTTCTAATTAGAATTTTAAGATATCAACATATCGTGTACATACACGTAGTGTACAAATAGAAATAGAAATAAAGACCCAAAGTGAAAATAATTATATATAAGGCTATATAAATTTATATAATTGGTTTTCATATCCCGCTCGCATCAACAAAGTGAAGATCGAAATTTTTTTTTTTTATAGTCGACCAATAAAAGAGAATCAGATATGCCAACTTTCATATGTTTGGCTAATTTACGAATATCAAATTCAATACTGCTCACAAAAAAAATTACGTATTAACGAAGTTACTCTTACTTTAGTTATTGCGATCTTTATTAGAAGTGCAACACAATCTTTAGCCTATATTTTTTTTTTTTTTTTTTTTTTTTTTTTTTTTTTTTTTTAAAAGTGAGGTCTTGCCTCGATTTCTTTATTGATTATTAATATCTAAATACATTT